TCCAGAGTGTCTCGTTTTCCCTGGGATCTGGTGGTTACTCTAGCGGCTAGTTGATTGGTTTTTTTTTGTTTTTTTTTGGGGGGGGGGTCTTTAGGGCTTCTAAATTTTTATGATCCGTCCAGACTTCAAAAGGGATCTTACTCTTTCCCTCCCCTTTCGTTTTTAAGAGCTTGGTGATGGGGAGAGCAATTTGGGCGGAAGCGGGAATAAACTGCCAGTAAACGTTTGCAAATCCCAGGATGCTTTACAACTGTTTCCGTGTTCTGGGTGGTTCCCAGTCAAGTACCGATTGCACTTTCGAAGAATCAATTTCTAAGCCCTGGTGTGAAATGCGGTATCCTAAGTAATCAATTTTTTCTTGGTGGAATTCACATTTGGAGAGTTTAGCATAAAGTTTTGCAGAGTGAAGTTTGTTCAGAACCGCCCGGACTAGTTTTACATGTCCTGCCTTGGTCTCAGAATATAATAAAATGTCATCGATATAGACTATGCAGCCCATATAAATGCTCCTGCAATACTTCAGTTATTAATTGCATAAATACTGCAGGGGCCCCTTGTAGTCCAAATGGTAGCATTTTGAATTGATAGCATCCAAGAGGGGTGTTAAATGCTGTTTTCCATTCATCTCCCTCCTTAATTCTGATACAGTAGTAAGCCTCCCTTAAATCCAGTTTTGAAAAAATTCTCCCTTTGGCTAGGTGTGCTAGCATATCCTTCATGAGTGGGAGCGGATATACATTTGCCATACTGATTGAATTTAAATTTTGAAAATCCACACATAAGCGTTTGGAGCCATCTTTTTTCTCTCTAAAAAATACTGGAGCTGCCACTTTTGGTCGGGCTGGTTCAATGAAACCCCTTGCTAGTTTTTTTTTTCAATGAATGCCCTCAGTTCTTAGCCTGTTACTCTTTCTGAGCCCAACACACTTCACAGAGGAATTATTGTGGGGAAAATAGCAAGAGAAAGTAATATTATGTGTGTTTATTGCCTTGAGTTATTTATAAAAATAATAAGGGCAGGATAGAAATAAATAAAGTAAAATTAGCAGGCAAAGGGAAAATTAGGCACATGTCCTCACTTGCTATATATCCTGTATGCTACATCATGTATACACTATTTGCATTGCTTCTGTAAACACAAGCTGGAAACAGACTTTTGCAAAAATTAGAATACTTTTTTGAATAATATTTGTAAACCACTAAACCACTAACAACCAACTATTTGTGCTAAAACAAAATGGAATTTCAGAAGCAAACTGCTTCATGCATTTGATTCAGAGTCAAATAGTTTTTGTATTATTTTGAGAAGTCCCTTTAGTGCCTGGTGGCCATTGAAGAATTCAGTTTCTCTGCCAAGAAAAAAAACAGCTTTGTAGTTGCAATAGCCTATTCTTGATGGAGCAAGAGGAAAATTAGAATTCATATAAAAAGGTTTCAGAAAAATTATGTTGAACCTTACGTGAGTACAGAACCTTTCTGTTCATTGAAATAGCTTGAGTTTTTTTTAGGTTTCTGCCTCCCCCTTATAGAAGTACCATAGCACTGTCAGGCGCAAGAAACCAGGATCTGGGATAGAATTCAAAAGCATTTAAAGTTTATTCCAGGCAGCTACAGTATACACAAGAATCTGATCTAATAACCGTCAAGGCAAATTGTTACCAGATACAAGTCAACAGACTTCATGGGGGAATGGACTCTTTCAGGAGTGGAGGACCTTCAGACAGATGATGCGTTTAAACCCACCTTCAGGCCCAGCCTGGTCATCTCCTACAAGTACTACCTTAAGAGTTGCCTATAAACTTTAATGAGAGGATTCCTTAAGTAACAGCAGTAGATTTTTTTTTCCAGGATCACATGAACCTGTGCACAGCATGTACACAGTGGTTCATAGTGCGTAGAGAGAGCTTTTTAATCCAGCAATGAAGCATAATATAGGTAGTCCTCAATTACAATGGCAATTGGTCATTCTGCTTAATGATGACAGTTCTGGCAGTCCTGGTTGCCGCTGTTAAATGAATCAATAAAGGTCACTATGTGGGGATATCATGTGGTCACTTGCCAGCTTCTGACAAGGAAAGTTAATGGGAAAGATTGCAGATGAAGAAGATTGCAGATGAAGACCACATTATCACAAGATGCTGTGACATCATAATTGTAAACTGGGCTCTGAATACCCAGATTTTAATCATGTGACCATGGGGATATTGTGAGGATCAATTATATGTACCATTTGTTCAGCACTATTGCAAGGTTGAATAGTCATTGAACGAGTAGTTATTAACCTGTAATATTTTTAGTAAAGAGTACATATAAAAACAAAAATATTTTTAAAACATATTTTGTTAAGTCTGTTTGCTTTGTTCCACTAGATCATTTTTCTTATCTTTTTAATCTATTAAGTCAGTTATTATTTAGCATATGATAAGAACATGACAGAAGAGGAGTAAACATATATGTATACACAGTCCACATAATTACAGGTAATCTTAGCAATTCTGTTGCTAAGTGAAACAGTTGAATTTGCCCCGTTTTACAATTTTCTTGCCACTGTTGTTAAGTGAATCACTGCAGTTGTTAAATTAGGAACACAGTTAAGTGAATCTGACTTCCCCATTGAATTTACTTGACAGAAGCTCATAAAAGGTGATTACATAACCCCTGGACACTGCAACCATCATAAATATGAGTCAGTTGCCAAGCATCCAAATTTTGATCATGTGACCATGGAGATGCTGCAATAGTTGTACATGTGAAAAAAGGTTATAAGACCTTTTTTCAATGTCATTGTAACTTTGAAACGGTCACTAAATGAACTGTTGTAAGTCAAATACTACCTCTATATATAAAAGTTTTATTGGGGTATAACAATAGCCTCATAACTGAATGTCCAGTTCAGCTATCCAGGTGATCACCTCTTACATTGGTTCATGTAAATCTTCTAGGGAACCAGGGAACTCACTCCATAGGCAGTCTTGTCCAATATGTTTAATAGTTTGCATATCGGCACCACAATTGCAACAATGGGAATCTTTCCACCCTACAAATACAGGGCAGAGGCATTTCTTCCAGTATCACGCCTGATTCTGTACAATTTCAACTAGACAAAGCAAGGCAGGTCAAATCCAGGTGGTTTGGTAGAGGGATTGCTGTTATTAAAACAATATTTGGGTACCTTTGACCATCCAGTTATTTATTGTATTCAAAATCTGAAGTAAAAGCCAGAAAGAGTTTCTTGTTTCATTTAGGAAAGAGACAAACTCCCCTCTCAAAAAGGACAATAGTAGCCTCCTTTCAAAGAATGGAACAGCTGTGCTAGAAAGTAGTAAGTTTTTCTTGTGGCCAGAAAAATAGACTAAGACTACAGATGTCCAAGAGAAAGGCAGAGTATGAACCAGATTTTACCCATTGCAGTTTTAAATTTGGACTGAGTCAATTTCTCCTTTGCTTTTCAGTAATCATTTTGATATTTCCTATGCATATGTTGGTGTATTCCTACAGGAACCCATTATCTTAGGGGGCTTAACAACAATAGCCAATTATGGAACAATTTGAGTGGGCGCCGGAAGCACGGGTTAAAACCCATCAACCCCACTGAGGAAGGCCTGGCAAGCATTCACAGTGTTCTGTTTCGAAAAGATCCTTTCCTGTGGCGGGCTGCCCTCCTGTATTACACTGTCTACCAAGCCAGTCAAATGTCCTTCAGAGACCTCTTTCAGGACATTGGGAAGTTTGTCACTGAACCCAATACTAGATGGGATTATTGTGTTCGAGCCAAGAGGGGTTGGACTGATACTTCACAACCAGGTAAGCTTTCTTTTATCTACCACTTGCAGATTTTGTTTGAAACTGGGACTTAAGGGGGATGCAATCTTATAGCACAATTCTTTGTATTAAAGCTATAAATCCAACTACTCCAAAGAAATTAATTTCCAATTAAGCAACTGTAACATTTTCATTTTATTTTTCTTTTAAAAAGTTTCTCATTCAAATTATCATTTTAAAAAGTTTTTAAAGTCTCCACCATGATTTCTGATTCTTTTAGGGTGCTTTAGTAAAGATCAGGTCTACTTGGATGGCATCCTACGACTTCTAAGATACCGACATTCTATTGATTTCTACTTATTGACAGCTCTAGGAAAGGTGAGTAAATGGCTGGATAAGAAAATGTCAACCTTAATATGATTTGTTTCTTTTTAGTACAAATATATTATTTAAGACTAAAAGCTGACATGACAAACAGCAGGAACAAGTATCGAATATGTTGAAAATATAGATAATATTTTGATTTCATTAATTGGGAGATGTTAAATTTGTTCAAGGTCATCTGAGGAATTTTAATGATTTTGTTTTATCACTCAACTGAAGATGTCTGAGGCTTTAATATCCTTGTAAATAAATGGGAAACATTCCATTTACTAATTCCACATTCTCCCACCCCTCTTGCTTTTATTTATTTCCTTGTTCATTCATGTATTTATTCATTGTTAAATTTATCCTCTCACTGCCAAGAGCCAAGGTGGCGCAGTGGTTAAATGCAGCACTGCAGGCTACTGCTAGATCAGCAGGTCAGCGGTTCAAATCTCACCGGCTCAGGGTNGGCCTTCCGCAAAGCCACCAAGTCCTGGCTGCTCCAGCAGGCCGGGGTGCCTGTGAAACATCCAGCCCCACAGAAATTGTGAATGTCCATCTTTTTTAAAGTATTGTCTTTGTCTATTTATCCTCTTTCCCTCGTCTATTGTGAGCCGCCCGGAGTCCTCCGGGAGTGGGCGGCATACAAGACAAATAAAATGAAATGAAATGAAAAGATTCAATACCACTTAGCTTTAAAAAGACCAGATCAGTTCAAATAAGTGCTGCCATCTACTGTTTTTTCCTGCATTACACTTTATTTTTGTTAAAGGTGTTTGCTTCCACTGTTGGTTTCATTCTAGAGTACCAGGTGGAGCTACCTCTAAAGATGAAAGCATGTTTAGAGAAATTTGGTGCTTTGAAATAAAATAAACCTGACATTATTTCCCCCCCTGCCCCCATATCTAGGTTTCATATGAAGATGTGGATCGTCTGAAGGATTTAGGAATGACTGAAAACATGAGAGTGCCACATTTTTTGCAAGACTATTCTCGGTACATGGAACATTTAGAAAAGATCATGGAAGTCAATGAGATATCTGACTCTGAACTCCAAGCTCTTGTATCCTAAACCAACCTATATCTCTGTTTCACATGAGTCACTCTTATGTTTTAGTGCTGATATAACTCATATATTAATTGAACTTATTTTTGATCCCTGGCAAAACCCTTATTTTTGATCCCTGGCAAAACCCATATTTTTTGGACCTGGCTTGTTTTTTAAGACTGAAAAACTCTAGCTACAAATTTGAAACTCATTGTTTTCATAGAAAGAAAATTCCCATTTTAAAATGGCAGTTTTAAGTATGAAGCTATATGTAAACCAAGCAGATTAAATTGTAGCTATAACACAGACATATCTTTTAAGAAATTATTGTGTAGATTTATCAATAGCACATTTTCAGATTCTACTGGCTTTTGTATTGTCTCTCTAGAGTACACTATTTAATATTTGGGGGGGGTTAACTTTTTTTGATTTGTTAGCCAATTGTCTTTTGCTATATCAATAGGGTCAATGCCCTACTGTGGGGTTTGCTATCACCACACTCACAATCTGTGCTTTAACCATTAGAATTGCAAGGATACCACTAAATGCTTGAAAGGTACTGGAAGCATGGCTATGTTTCATGACTATGGTTGTATGCTGTAGTTTTGTGGATTTTGCATTTACAGTGTATAATCCATTTGATGTCGGTTTGTCTCATTGAAATTCAGTAATGGGAATTATGTGAAAGAGCAGAGAAGGAAAATGATCTCCTGTCATGTTTATTAGTTTCCTAAGCGCATTCCACTGACTTGTCTTTATATTTTCATATTTCAGAAAATTTAAGGAGATGACATTTTGTTCTTTATTTTATTTTTGATCATGTATAAATAAATTTACAAAAGGAAATTGGAAAGAAATAAAACTTGGAATTCTTTTTTAAAAATCCTCTATTTCCGACTCGCACTGAAATATATTGATATATAAATAATTCTTTCTCTGTTTGTTACTGATATAGTTATAAAAAGGCTCTATAGTGTAATGCTTGTGAGATATTTTGTTTTATTAATATAGAGTGCTTATGCATGACTGCAAAAGTACTGAAGCCTATTAGAAAAGTTTAGGCTAGCCTACCATGTTTTTCTTTTTTTCTTTTTTAAGACATTGATGTTTTTGTTTTTGGCACATATATATTTATTACAGTGATGGGATGTAGAACCGTACACCCATTTTAGAGTAGGTTTTCCAAATTCTTCCACACATCTTAGCATTATTTAATTCAATGACAACCTATTGATGCAAAAACCTTATATAACAAGAAGACTGGAAAAATTAATAATTCATCATACTAGAATTGTGAAAATATTCTTCAATACAATGATAGACAAAGACAGATGGTACAAAGATCAAAAATATGCATTGGATTTATGCAAATCAATATGTCTTGTTATTAGTCTTGTTTATGTTGGATTCATAAAATGGATCCATAAACATTATTTCTGAACTGTGTGAATTTCATAGAGACCTGTTGATTTTAGAGATCTCTGGTGTTACTATTTATACCAAAATTCAATTAAATTAATGATCCATCATAATACTTTTTTAACCCAGTTAAACAACAGCTTATCTCCAAATAAAGTCTAAATGTTCATTGCATGTATTGTTTAGTATTGTTTTGATAGCATAGGCAATGCACTGTGACTGAACCTTATATTATTTCAGAGCAGAGCTGTTATAACTATGCTATCATTTAAATGGTCCTAATACAGCATGTTAATATAGCTAAGGGTCAGTATGTTTCTGCATTTATTTCTTATCTGTTCTAAACCTATCCCATTAAATCCATTGCAATTGTAGTGAATAAATATAGTCTAGAGAAAAACATAATTCAGGGTTTTAGGGAGAATAAAGTAACAAATCTTTACCAAAAAAAATGATGACTGCGTCCATGAATGAGAGGAATCATTCTTGGTTGAACTGACCAACAAGTCTTGGCATGATGTTTTATTTATCTCTTAGGTAAAACATAAATCCAATCTTAGAATGTAAGTGTTGAAAATAATGAATTTCACAATAACTTTCATAGAATTTGGTGCATTAACAAAAATAACTTTCTTTTATCTATACTCATTTTCTCAAGCAAAAGTATTTAGCAGCAATAGTACTTTTATTGGGCAGTCTGATCATTCCCTTGTCCTCTATCTAGATTTTACATACTGAAAGCAGTATTTTCTTATATTGAAGAGTGAATTCAAACATACAGATTATAGACTTCACATACTGAATGTTCTAATTTTACATGCAATGTTACCATGTTCAAATTATTAGCAATGTATGTCATTCTGCCCTGCGAAATGTAATTTTTACACAAATATGAAAAAATGTGATATATGGATAATATTTGTACAAGCAAAGTCACCTTCCGTTCACAAAGAATGCTTTAAAAATCTGGTGGAATTTACCTGTTATTCTACCTTAGAATACATCAATAATTTGACAGTCAGCTGATTTCTCCATCAGAAGGACCTCCCTATCAATTCATTTTAATAATGTGGTTTTTTTCTCTTTTTATAAAATATTTTGGATTTGTAATTGTGGTTTTGTAAAGTTTTTCTGGATTTTTTTTGTGGCAAACCTGTTCTTAAGCAGTTTTAATGAAGTGGTAAAATAAAGTATATTTCTCCTAGACTGTCTCATTATGGTTATATATAACCCAAATGAAGTTATTGCTAAATAAATGTATTTGAACCAACAAGTACAATTCTTTTATCAATTTATCACAATTTAAAAAGTATGCTTATATTATCAGATATGGGATTATGAAACATATATCTGTATGCTTGACTGTAAGCATGCTTTAAGAAGTTATACCAAGTCAACCAACCCTATTTGGCTTCAATACAAAACAACATTTCCCAATCTGTTTTCCTATGTTACTTCACAACATACATATACTCATGTAAAGTTGTACAAACTCCAGATTTAAAAAAAAGATTCAGAATAATGTTTTACTTGTATAGAACCTGGATATATGTTTTTTTAAAAAGGCAACAGTTGAATTAGGAATAAGTCCTAATAGCCATGCTAGTTGGGACTTACGGAGTTTTAATTATTAATTAAATTATTATTATTTTTAAATTAAGTGATCTAGAAGGCACCAGATAAGGCTAACATAATCTGAATTGTAAAGTGATCAGCTTTTTAATGAATTTTGGAGGAGTAGTTTTTATTTCAAATGATGCATGACTCAAAACTCGTCTCTAGGTAAAGAGTAGGTATTATATGCAATAGCACTAAGGATTTTTTTCTATTGCTGAACTATCTTAAGCAGATAGCAGAATGCCCAAGTCTGTTCTTCCATGAGCTATTAGGTTCAATGATAGTATTTTATTAGAAGCAGAAGAAAGGAAATTGTGAACAAACACAATAAGTGAATTTTATTTGCAATTATCCAGGTACATCCATCCTCAGAAACCCCCATGTCTCCATAAGTCACAATCCACAGAATGGCAAGTGTCCTAAAAGAAGTGGGAATAGGGAAGGGAGATGTTAAAAGCAGAAGCATATTCAATTTTAAATGAAAACAAAATACACTTGTATTTTGACACTTGTATTTTGACACTTGACACTTATTCAGTGTCAGACCTTGAGTGAAGCTATCTTCTAACCATCTTTTGAGGAAAGAAAAATGTAGCTTTCCTTCTTTTTCATCACCGTTCATGTTTAGAATTCACATCACTGCATTCCACTAGCACTCCACCTCCATTTTGATTTACATCCTTTCTATTCCAGTCCCTCTCAATGTAAAATTCAGCTAAAACTGGACAATGACTTGATGCTACTCCACCCCATGACCAGTTATCAGGGATCCAGGGGTTTGTAAGACCTTCTCTTACAACTGCCCAATGACCTGTGGAGAAAAAGATGAGTGTCAGTATTTGGGAAGACAAAAAAAATCCTGACAAAGCTTATTACTTTTAAATGTTAGTATGAGGATTTTATTAGAGATAGTGCATCAAATATTATAGCATCAAGGAATTTAGTGAGTACAAACCTACTTAGTGCTCAGAAACACCAGGGATGGCTGGTACTTAATTTAAAATTTCTTTTTGAAAGAAAATTACAGCACAAAATACAGAAAATGAAATTAAACAAACGTGGGGAGTTATTATCTAAAAGAATAATAATTATTCTGAATAATTATATTTCTAAATTATTAAAATTAACATTTAATTTACAGAGAAAAATATTAAAGAAACTATATATGTAATATAGTAAGGGAAACCTGAATATCCAAGGTTATCATGCCTTATAGTATGCTGTATACCCAAAATACAATTGAAGGAGTAGAGCATGTATTTTTATATATTTCCTGCTATTCTAAGTATGATGTATACCAAACTGCTGTGTAAACGTTTGAAGAAACGTTTGTAAATAATATAAAGCAAATATATTCAGCCTCTAAACCAAGGGAATAGACGATCTACCCACTTGTAGCATTGTCTCACCTACTGCAGCCCTTGATTTTCCCAAAAAAGTTAGATACAGGCCTTGATCAACAAAACATTGGCTATTCTAATGTAAAACATCCCCATACAGCAATCTTTAACCAATTAGTAAGTTTTAAATATGTTAGAAGCAACTCCCAATCACCCCAGGCAGCAAAATATTTGACTATATTGTGGAAGATGAATAGAGAATGCTAAGATAGAGCCTACATAAAACTGACATGATACTGCAAGGAACAGGCACGCTACAAAATAATATTTGCTACATTTGAAGCAGTCACTGAACTAACAATGATATACAATAATTGAAATTCCATTTGCAAAATGGAATCTTACCAGTGAAAATCTTTTTCAAACCACGACTGATCCAGATATTGTCCAGAGATTTGGAACCTTGAGGATTCTTTGTGCTGATGTTTGTGAACGTACTTGCAGGAACCAGATGGTGGAACTTTTCCTTTCGTAACATGTCATGGTCACTACTATCGGGGGGCTGGCTAAAATCACCCAAAATTGCCACATCTTTTTCCCCTAAGTTTGGAAACAGTTAAAAGGTTAGTGGAATGTCAGAACTGATATCCAGATGCTATATCTTCCTCCAGCTCAGTCTGAATGTCTCAGCTTTTAAAAACTGCTGTCCACTATGGAGATTGCTTCTGTGAGAATGTCTGTGATATATCATAATACCACTGTCTCTTCTATCAAATCTATTCTCAAATCTCAGTTCTAACCCTATCCAAAACCCTTTGTCATTTAATACTACAACCTATCCCCCCATTTTATTTATTTTATAAAACGGAATATGATACTACTATACAATAGTGCTAAATAAATAATTAGGCAAACATAGTGATGTGACTGACAATACATCCATACACGTCTCTTGTACACCTAAAATGAAATTATTGGGAATAACTCTCTTACCCAAATGAATAGGTTTAATATTTCCATTATTCTTAATTTAATATTATCTATCTAATTATTTGTTTTGTTATCATTTGGATTCTGGGGGGGAAATCATGAAATAATTTGATTGTAAAGAACAAAAAGTGTTTAAGTCTATCTATTTTCCAGTTTTAAAACTGATCCAATAGCTGTTCTGTGCATGGCCATCTAGAATGAGACAAGGAAAAATTAATAATAGCTCAGAAAGCCAAACTGTTTTAAAACCTAAAAACACCATATTGATGAGAACACAAATATGGAGTTACAGAGAGGTTTAAAGAAGTAATAGAAAAACATTAAAGCATACTCTACCTCTACAAACCAGATGCATTTATTATTATTTGGGGGTAGCTGTAGCTGTTCCTTGCAAAAGCTACAGCTAAAACAGATGCCTGCACATTCAAGCAAACAGAATAAAACCTTTTTCAAGGTCATGCTTTGTCCTACTTTTCATACCACTGTATCCATAATTTAAAATTAAGACTTGTAGCATTTGCTGTTCTAGCTTCCTACTTCTGGGAGAATAGGAACTTAGCAAAATATCAATTTAACTAGGATTTGAGTTCTGTTATAGGATGAATACTGCATACCACAATATTACACAACACTATATAATATATAGAAAGGTAATATTATATCTGCAGGGTTTGATATAGTATTCAGTGAGACATCCAGCTTGATTATAATGAATGGATCACCTAACTTCTGCTATAGTTGTCAATCAAACCATGAAAAATCTTTAAGGAAGACCTCACACAACTGCAATTTCCAATTTTTCTGCTAGCTTCTACATTGACTCTGCTTGTCAGAATCCAGCTGTAATGGGTCCTCTCCTAACTTGAGAAAGTAAAGACTCTTGAAACGGATTATTTCAAAAGGAACCTTTAATCAGTCAGGATGGAAACTATTAGAACCAAAGCAGCATCTGAAAACCTTTAGGTCATGTAAATGGGATTAAGCTGCTAATGACCCCTCCCCTTTGTCCGAATGCAGATTCTGACCAATACACAAGTGTGAAGAGTCTTTACTTTCTCANCTGAGGGGATATGTTAAGCAGATGACAACAGAGTGTAAGGAAACAGAAAAAGATGAAAATAATGTAAACAAAACAAACACAATAATAGAACATTAAGCTAAACAATAAAAAATTGAAATAAATCCATACAATAACAAAAACATTGGTGGAGAGTAGAGCGCAAGGAGGAAGAGGGTGAGTCTGCCATCAATCAAGCAGCAACCTCCAGCATGGAATTCAGCCAAATGGGAGAGCCATGTCTTCAGGCTACTATGGAAGGATAGGAGGGTGGGGAAAATTTTTATGTAGAAGCTAAGATGTTTCAAAAGGTGAGCACTGCAGCAAAAAAGGCTCTTCTTCTGACACAGTTCATCAGGTAGCCTGTATCTATACCATGGAGAGCTTTGAAAGTCATAACCAATACCCTAAAATGCACTCGAAAGAGACTGGTAGTCAGTGAACTTCCATAGCGAAGGTATTTGGGGCCACCCTAGGGATACCAAAGACTACTTTTGTTGCTAGACTTTGCACCATTTGACGCTTCTAAATTGATTTGAATGGTAGCCCCATGTAGAGCGCATTGCAGTAGTCCAGATGATAGACGACTGTGACTTGAATAACTGAGAGCAAGGAGTCATGATCCTGGAAAGATCACAGCTGGTTGTACAAGTGGGAGTTATGCAAATGCTCTCCTTGGTTTGTCCAGAACTAAGAATGACAAAAATTTGAATCCTGAGGCTCCATGCATCCACTCAATCTTGCAAGGGTTCAGTCAAAGACTGTTGGTTACCAATCCAGATCCCTACAACCTCCATGAATCATGAGAGGACAGAGATAGTATCACTTGGGCCATCATGTGTAGAGATGTAGAGCTGAGTATCATCAGCATATTGATATATCTCAACCTATGATGATGGATGATCTTATCCAATGCCTTCATGAAAATAAAATAAAGAGAAGAGTACTGAGTTCTAAAGGACATCACCAGTGAGAGGTTGGGAGCTGGATCTCTCACTCAGTTAACATCGATTGGGACCTGTCTTGAAGGGCAAAACTGTGCTGCCGAGCCCCAACTTGCATAACCAGCCCAAAGGATAACAAGATCAATAGTATTGAAGGTCATTGAGAAATTAAAGAGAGCAAGAATGGTAGCTGTCAGCACTCCTCCATTG